GACTTGATAATTAACTCCCTTGTTTGAGGCATTCCACAACTGGCTGACATATACTCAGCTACTGAAGTGTTGTTATGGAACCTAAAGGTCTGGAACCATTGCCATAGCCAGTCACAAGATGCATCTTGAAGTAGTTCAGTCCCACAGTCAATTTATGTGACACTCACATGGACATCGTGATAAAAACAGTGCCTCAAAGTAATGCTATGTTGTTGACAGGGAATGTGATCGGTGCCCAGATGTCCCCTCCCCGCACTTGGCCGTCTGATGCCTACTGGTACTTCAGTCATGTGATTTCAGTAGCAACAGTGCTCATCTTGTTGTTCATGATGCTGCTAATGATATCACAACAATTTCCACGTTTTGCCATTGGCATCACTGTGAACACTACACTGGTCATTACGTTCTATGTCTTATATGTCTTCTTGGCTGAGCCCAAGGAAGTGTATGAATAATATGGGTAAACAAGAAAGAAATAAAATTACATTCAAATACTCCCTTGCTCCTGACTAACACAGACATAATGTAATGTTCTTAATGATAAAAGAAATCATAACTATCTAGTTACACAGTCCAGTCTTCCTTCAGTGTTATGAAACCTCTACAAAGGCCCACCACTGACAATCAACACGTCTTATTCCCCATGTATGCTGCATGTTTTATCCATGTATTCCTTTGTGGTTTAGTGAACTTAACAACAGATGAAGAAGACTAAATTTATGATACTCCTAATTATACATACATGGTGCAATCCAAAAGTTACCGAAATATATTAATAAAACTATTGTGTCTTACCTGGATCTTATTCTGCACCATCACCTTCAAAGCGGTCCCCTTGGGAGTGCACACACTGATCCCAGGGTTTCTGCCACTTTCGAAATGCATCCTGGAAGTCTTCCTTTGTTAGGGTGTTTAGTACCGTCTGCATTTCCGCTTGAATTTCCTCAACTGTATCAAATCCTTTCCCCTTCAACTTGATTTTCATTTTGGGGAAGAGAAAGAAGTTGCATGGAGCTAAGTTTGGCAAGTACGGTGGGTGGGGAACAACTGCCATTTGTTTTCAGCCAAAAATTCCTGCACAATATAAGCCATATGGGGTCATGCGTTGTCATGGTGGAGTACCCAGTCATTCGTGTGCCACTTCTCTGGACGTTTTCTCCTCATGTCCTCCCTCAAACGCCTTAGAACATCATGATAGAACTCTTTATTGACTGTCTGACCAGGAGGGACAAACTGCTTATGAACAATCCCGTCAATATAACAAAAAACAGATCAACATGGACTTAATGTTGTGCTTGACTTGTCAAGCTTTTTTTGACCAAGGTGAAGAAGGGCTCTTCCATTGCGACGATTGCTGCTTACTTTCATGGTCGTAGCCATAAACCCAACTTTCGTCACCAGTGACAACCTTCGAAAGAAAGTCTGGATCCTCTTGAAGCTGTTGTTGAAGTTCCCTGCAGACTTCCAAGCAATGCTGCTTCTGTTATTTTTGCAGCAGTCATGGCAAAAATTTCGCCGCAATCCTCCTCATGTTCAGTAACTCTGACAAAATTCGTTGACATGTACCATAACTTTGTCCCAAGGTATTACAGAGGTCTTGGATGGTCAGTCTATGATCTTGCAGAATCAGATCCCTAACTTTCACGACATTTTTTGGTGTGGTGCCAGTTGACGGCCATCCCGAACGATCGTCATCATCAGTCCATGTTCGGCCATTTTTGAAACGCTTATACCAGCCGTAAGTTTGTGTCTGGCCTAAACTGTTGTCACCAACACCAAAAGCTTGCTTCAACATTTGGTGCGTTTCTGCAGCAGTTTGCCCAAGTTTAAAACAAAATTTTATACAGACACGCTGCTCTCTCAGGTCAGCCATTGCAAAACCGCAAACTCACGGAAACACAACAATGGAAATATGTTCACCAACAATAAACCCAACCACTCAACTCGTCACTGCTTGCCACATTGATTCAAGAAGGGTGTGTGGGGAGACACTTAGCGGTATTTCGATGTACTCATAACCATTGACGCGCAAAATTCACATTTCGGAAACTTTTGGATTCACCACGTACAGGTATAACGATTACATTATTAACAGATTACACATTTTTAGTATCAACTTCACAATGAGTTCTTAAACGGTAATGACTTCAGTGCTGCTCCACAACAACTATCTGATCACCTGAAAAAATCAATAAATATGCCCAAATTCTTCATATTGAAACTAACAAGTCTTTCTGTTGAGTACACAACACACAGCACAGTGGAAACATCTAACCACAAGCCATAAAACATTAAGCTGACATCTCCCATCTTCGGGATGAATCAATAAGGAGGAGCTTAACATTTTACATGAATGTTTTAAATTTTTAAATATTTTAACATTGACGTTTTTAACTTGAGGGAAGTTTCGGATGGAACATGAATTTTGTTAGTGCATTCAACAATCCTAACAAGTGTTGTGCTTTTACACGTCGACATACTGTAGCAGCGTCTACGCAGCAAACATAACTGTGTACATCTTAAACAACGACAGTGTTTTCATGATTGTACTATGTGCCTCTGATGATGGTTGTGTTAAGCCGAAACATGTAAGGCAGAAGTGATAAAGAAGTGACCTACAAATTGTTACACTGGACGGACCTTCTATTGACTTTGTGATTGATAGTGTAACGGAACAAAAATGAAACAATAAAAAAAAAAAAATACCCATTTACATTTACAAACTTTATTCAAATGTTTCTGTTATGGTGAACTTTTAATAAAAAACAAGGAAAACTAATTTGTATGCAGTGTCAGATCTGTAGTGCAATTAACTTTTAAACCATAAATAAAGGCATATAAGATATCCAGATACCAAAGAGCATTAGGTATACCATTTGTCTGCACTTCAGTTCTGTATTTATTTGTATAATTTTTTCCACTTTTTTATAAAAATTCATATCTGAAAGTTGTGGTGTATAAAATACGTAAAAATTGTGTTTCAGAGAAAAATTGTACCCACTTGATTGAGGAAATTACAGTCGAATGTAATGTGACATAATGTGGATAAAAAAGGCCGCTCGATAACATTTTGACTGATGCATAATCATCCCAGATAAAAACTGAATGCAGTGCAGCAACACAATATAAACATTCATGCCTACATTCTCCACCAAGCAATTCCTTGATGGACTTCAAAATGAAAATGACTTTTGATACAGTTTTTACAGATGCATCATTTTTGCAGAAAATGCAGTTGAAGTTGAATGTGATCTTGTATTATGGTATGGATATTCACACCTATGAACTCCTCCATGTAATTCATTAATAATGAGACAATGCATAATTCTCATGGAAAATGCAATAAAAGTGAACGTAATGTAGCAGTATAGTATGGACATTCATTCTTAAGTACTCTGTCACATGACAGCTCAATGAACATCAATATGAAAATGTTCTCTGATAAAAACTTACACATAGACTGATGCATAATTTTCAGAGAAAATATAATAAAATCTTGATGTAATGTGGGAACACAGCATGGATATCCACACCTACAAACACCATCACCTGATTCCTTGATGAACAGAGACAAAGATTCCACTTCATAAAATTTCATATAAAGCATGATTTTCATGAAAAATATCATTACATGCGAATCTGATGTAGCAACATGGATCAGTATGCACGCCTACAACGCCATCATATGATCTGCTGATTATCACGGGGATGAAGGTGTCCCTTAATAAAATTTTGACTGCTGCATAACTGTTGTAGAAAATCCAATTAAAATTAATGTGATGTGGCAACACAGAATGGATATTCATGCCTACAGCCTCTGCCACATGATTCATTACTCAACACTTAGGCAAGAATTCCCCTTGATAATATTTTGAGTAATGCATAATTTTCACATAAAATGTGACAAGTTCCCCATAGTTCATTTAACTATGCAGGGGACCCTCAGTATAAGATGGGTTTCGAGCTACCCAAATTAAACGTGAAATTTATACAATTTTGGAATATCTATTATTATGTATATCTATAAATATCCTAAAATACATTAAATTTAAGGAATATTTCACCAACGCTACTGGGACAGGCCACTAATTACGTATATTTATACCTCCTTACTAAAATAGTTATAAAATAGTTACATGTGAGAAACCAGAAACCCGTACCTATTCACAATGGACTATGGACTTTACCATCTATACCCACACACTAAAGCAAGTAATGTTGCAATAAAGTCTCCTAATGTAACCAAAACTTTCTATTGAAATTTGTACAACATAAAACATATGTAAGCATGTTGGGGGATATGATCACGGCCATGGTATACGTGAATCTGTGGTATAGCAAGGCACAGCATATCGAGGGTCCCCTGTAATCATATAACGCGTCAGTTGAAATTTTATCAAGGATAAAAATATGACATGTACTTTCTTTAACAAAAATGATCTAAAATTAGGGGTGTGAAAATTATGTGAATAAATATTATAACAACATTTACAGAAAGAATTTTACTCCTTAAATTCTTCACTTACTTAAAAAACTTCAAGAGGATATTTGTGATTTTTCTGGCCTACTTTTTTATTTCCTAAGGAAAAACAGGTTTATGGTATCACCTGGTTCAGGACAGGGACCAGTTTCACTGGTGAATATAGTAAGGAATATTGGGGTTTCATAAGATTGGAAAGGGAGATTTCTAGACCAATGGGTAGCTATTACCTTCTCAATAACTATGTTCCATGAAGTTATTTAGTTATGGTAATGTTATATCTGTGGGCACACGTCTCACCCAATTTAAATTTTAACCAAGCGACGAGATTTCATGAAATTTGCTGTTAATACCATGCCACTGAAGGTCACACTGCCCTTGTAGATTTTGTTTCCCTACCACTGACAATATAAACATAGAGGAAGTGTAAACTTCAGAACCCGGAGTGGAAATGGCACCATGTAATGGAGAACCTAAAATTTTCATGGTTATGGATCTGCAAAGAATGTGCAACACCTTGTAAAATGACATTAGCACAAAATTTATATTTGGCTCTTCAACTGATACACATAACTAATGAACCACACAAGCAAGGCATGCGAAATTAAAATATGAAAGTAATTAAGAAACAAATTCTGTACGAAAAGTTTTCATATATTAACCATTACACACACTGATACATTGTAAAACTTTGAGGTTATGAGTGACAACTATCTGATGGTCAGAATTTATGCATAGAACACAGATCTCTTATTCATATAAACTTAAAATGTTCACTGGTCTTTGTATACATATCAAAGAATTTTTGCAAATTGACATACACTAGTAAGTTCTTCATAAAATATCCTGTTCAAAATCTGGAATCAGAGCAGTGGGAATCTTAAATGTACTGACTGATGATGTGATATTATCTGGACTAGGGCCATGAAATGATAATGAAAGAATGTTGTCTAATGTGGCAGCCAGGACTCACTTCACATGGAGTGCGCTGTTGTCAGCAGCAACATTTTATCCTGTGATGCTCGTGTGGCCGTTTGCAAGTAGTAGTTCACCAGGTTTTTCAGTTCTGCATGTAGCTGCAGGCAAAATACATAGTTTGTTACTTGTGCCCCATTTATTGCAAATACAAAGCTATTGTAACACCACACAACATTATATTGAACAAGTCAGAACCAGAGCAAAGCATAAAAGAATTTGCTGAACACCTCGGCCACACCACACCCCTGGGTCATACATGTAGGTTTCATTTATAAACGTTTTGCATGGTTATGAACACTGTCTCTTACTTTAAGTGAGGAGTGTACACTACAACAATTTGGAAACAAAAAGAAGATTTATCCATTTTAGGACCAAATGACGTTGGGAAACAGAAGATATCACATAATGAGAAACTTTGTGATATAAACCTTGTGTTACAAGAGTAATGGAACAAGTAACATAATGGTCCGGACAAGTAGTTATAATGTGAAGAGAAATGCATACAGAATATTTTGGGGAACCTCACGGACAGTAGCTCTTTGGATAATCAAAAAGGAGATGGAAAATTATATTAAGATGCGTCTTTGGGAAACAGATTGCAAGGATGGAAGGAGGATGGAACTGCCTCAGAATGATGTCTAATGATGTTGGTGTTAGCACTGTTGAATATTCAGGGTCTACTTCCATACAGTCATAAGCACACACACACACACACACACAAAGAGACTGTAAAATACAGAGATTATCAGGATGTGAACTGGACAGGATATGGATGAAATAACAAGTTACTTCCTTGGAGCCATGATATGGACAGGACAAATGATGTTCAATTCCTGGTAGGAATAGAGATCTTTCTCTTTGCCACCAACTCTACGCTGGCTTCCGTACAGATGATACTATCCTCCAACAAGGCTGTGCCATAGCTCAACCGGTTAGTCACTGGCTTCCCACTGCGGTGCCCCCGGTTCGATCCCAGGTCTGGTCAAGTGGGATTTGTGGTGGACAAAGTGGCACTGGGGCAGGTTTTCTCTGAGTAGTTCGGTTTCCCCTGCCATCTTCATTCCACCAATTGCTTCACAATCACCCTCACCTATCATCTGGAGCTGGTACAATATGCCAGAAGTGGCTGCCGTACAAGGAACTTTGTCCCACCCCACTAGCAATAAAAAAAAATCCTCCAACAAAGAGAAGGTAAAACAATTAGAAAGGCTCACCCACATGTATTATGAAAGCTGATAATACTGGCATGATTCTTAGACAGCTCTTCCTACTGATGCTGCTACACTGAAGCATAATATGTCCCTGCATGGGCAGTAGAATGATAAAGGTTGACCAGTTCTACTCGCCACATGCCTCATGTATATTCATTACAAGATTATAATGGGTGTTTTTACCCTGGGGGGACCTTGTTCTGAGATTTAAAACGTGCTTCAATGACATGGTGCTTAGACTGTTTTACTTTTTACTTCTTATTGCTTTTGTTATAACAAGTAAATTATAACATAAGAATGAAATACTGGATGTCTTGCAATATATTTCAAAGAAACGGGTTTTTTATATAGTGCAATGTTATTAACTGTGATGATGATGATGAATGCAACTTGTCTATTTTGAAATATTATCCTGGCATTTCTCTGGGTCTGTGAAGAATTACTAAAAAAATCATTTATGTTTGCTTAGATTTGAACTGCACAACCCATTTATAAAAATCACACATTGAAAATTATACTGCAACACATATGAAATTATATCAAGACAATGGGCATCAAACATATATTTGACCAAGCCAGACAACCAGGACAGACATGGGTCTTCAGCTATTTGGGTTGTACCTAAAATAAATTCTAACATAATCAGCCCAGCTACTGTATCAAAACTATTCATATTTTGCCTAGTCATCAGATGTCATACTAACACAACTTCTAATTTAAAAAGGACTGCCTTAAAATCATATTGCACTAATGACATGAACTTTCCAACAGCTCAAAGCCTTTAGTATTACGTAGCTGTCAACTGTAGAGGTTTTTATTGCAGTACCTTCAGTGAACCATTGTGAAACTGAGATACCCCTCTAAAACCATTCAGGCGGTTGATAACCTGGCACAGTCCATGCCAACAGGTTAATCTGGCCAAGGAATAAGTAAAGTTTAGAGACAAAAAGCTAGAAATATTGGGTCTCTGAAATAGGAATGAATCTAATTCAGATCAATAGTACAAAGACACAAGAGATAATGTTGTTGAAAATACTTAATACCCATCCATCAATAATAAGAAGAAACAATCACTGTCAAACACAAATGCTCAGATAACAAATGAGGATATGCTGGAGTGAAAAGGCAAATTTCCAACAAAGAAATTGAATGGAAAGAAAATAATTTTGCAGTAGGGGACCTTTCTTTTTTCTTTTTGGGCTACTGGGAATAAATTCCTATAGAAGGTAGTTCTCCAACAAATATATTTGATTTTTCAACCCTGAAATATATTAACCAAAAAAAATTTGTTCACTCACATAAGCACACAGGAAGCAGATGGATGCAGTCAGATTGCAGTGTACACACTGTAATAGTTGTGGCAGACATATGAAGCACTTGACATAAAGAGTCAAGAAACTTATTACAGGGCAAGGTGGAAGTGCAATTGGGATTTTTTAGAGAATTTCTAGAGAAAGAGATACTGCTGAGAATAATTACTGAGATGAATTGCAGTGCACAGACATAATGCAGAAATGAAATGATGAACCCTCCTTTATACAGGATATAGTTCTACTGTGTGTATACTGCGTAGACGTGTAAGAATTATCTGAAAATTGTGAAGATTTGTCCACTAAATGTCTTTGAAACCAAAAGTGAAAACTCGATTTTGATTTCTAAACTCTGGCTATATGTAGGTCCATGCATGGAAATTTCACACTCACAGCATAACCCTCAATTGATAAGCATGGCCTGTAACAAGAGCTTCATCATGGCAAGCAAAATAGTAATCTGCGCCATTAAAATTCTTAATGTTACAGCTGTTGAAAAATCTTACAAAAAATGAAGACTTTGTTCTTGGCTCCTTCATCATAATAAGCAGTTCTTACTAGCTATGACATTTTTACCTAATTTCTTGCACCAAGTGTACTTGCAATTTTGCTTCCAAAGATATTTATTTATAGCTGATCATTCACAATATCACTGTAAACACACCCTTACCTAGGAGAAGGAATAATATGTAAATAGCTTACACCCTTCAAATTTTAGCCAATGAGAATTGTCCATCATACATCCCCTGAATATTTTCACTTGTTTCACTGTAGAGAGATACTTGGCTTGTGAAAAGGACTCCTTCTGTGATTACACATCATTTAGTTCAAGTTAAATTTGATGTAATGTAAGTCTATGCTGTCAGCAGCTCATCAAAGATTTAACTTCAACGCTGTTCACCATTTGAGGATGAAAGACAGAGTTGTTCCCTCTGGCTGAACACCAGTGACAGAAATAAATGTGGAACACAGACAATGGAGACTTGGAATATGCACTTTCTGAGTGCTTCTGCTGGAAAATATCAGCTGACATATAGTACAGCAAGCAGTGGGTGGGACTTCTTTCTGTGAAGGGCTGCTCCTAACAAGTTGCTGACTATAAGTAAACTGGTACATTAACTACTTAATTCAGATAACAGCGGCCTCCATAGTCTAGGGGTAACGTTCCCACCTCATGACTCAAGGTATGTGGGTTCAAACCCGGTGGAGGTCATGGAATTTTTAAGGGCGGAAAAATTCAGGGAACAAGCCCTCTGGGAGGGACTTTAAGCCATGGGTCCCGTGTCGTAGATTTATGGCACATAAAAGATCCTCATGTCTCTAGGAGACCTCTGAGCAAAATTAGGCAACAATTTCCCGCCCAACTAGTTTCCAATGCCTCTGGTAGACGGGGGAAATATCAGGTACCGACGGCCGACCTCGTTGGCTGAACGGGACTGATAGCACGCACCAGTACCGGTAGGGTATGACAACAGTAGGAATTAAAGGGGGACGCACAATGGACCAATAACTGGTCTAAGTGCATGGGGAAACCCACCCCTTCTAATAATAATAATAATAATAATAATAATAATAATAATAATAATTCAGATAATGTTAGTCACTGACTGCTAAATTCTTCTTTGTTCTTTTCATATCTCCATGATAACCACCTTTACAGAGAACAAGATAATTTTTTAAACCTCAGAGCTAGATCATGATATATATAGTTAGAAGTTAGGAGTTACTTGAAGAGTCTGTTTTCCAACCACTTTTTAATATTATGAGCACCTGTTAGACTGAGCATTTTTATGAATTTTATAAATTGCACCATATAGGTAAAGACACCGTCAGAACTAATAACATTTATATTCTGGCATTTAAAGCATGCGTACCCATCTTTAACCATCCAAAACACAGTGACAGTGACATCTATGTGTGTCAATATTGTGCACTTTCACTTTAGTTTCCTAAGAAGCTGCTTCCCAACAGATTTCCCCACCAAAATTCTATAAATATTATTTTTGTACCACTTCCAAACTACACATTTAGTCTATTTTAAACTCCTTCAATTGATTACCTTCACTATACTAAGACCCTTAATTTACAGAGCTCCTTAATGCATAATATAATCTATTTTCCTCTTCTGGTCTCTTTGATTAAAATGTTTAGCAATTTATTTTCAAATATTCATAAACTCATTCTTCGCTTAGAATAAAGGACTACATTTAGCATCCAGCTGAAGGAGCTGATAACAATCACTGTTTTATAAACATTCAGAAAGTAATAAACCCAATACAATGAATCATCTTGACTCTCACCTGTTTATATTCACTGTCCTTCTCACTCAACTCCTTCAGTTCTAGCAAGAGAAGGTCCAGGGTCTGGAATGGGAGCCATGCGGGAGATGCAGTGGACAGAAGGGAGTTCTCCAGGCCAAAGTATTCCTTGCCATGTCCCAGTACAGCCCAGACATATTCCTCTGCAAGGTTCGTTGCCTCCACAAGCCTGCCAGCAGACAGCAGCATACGCAGTAGCTCTGCAGGGTTCCGTCGTTTGTATGACGCGACTAGCCAGTGTGGTAGGAAAGCACCCAGCCCCAGGAGTCGAGCTGCTACAGCCTTATGCAGTGTGCTCTGTCTGGAGCTCTCATACTTGTTCAGCAGAGTCTCCAGAAGTCGCCATGCCAATAACATTGCTGAAGCCTCACCAATACCGAGTTCTGCCAAAGGAAATTAATTTCACAGCTTTACATCTCTCAAACCAGCAGATACTTCGACCTTTCATTCCTTCTGTCAGTCTCAATCTGATATTCTGAAATCATCATATTTTAATCCAATGTTGGATTAAGTCTACGAGTCCTGAAATTTAAACAAATTAAACTGAAACTGGAGGAAAGCTACGTCAAAAGAAGTTGACCTCAAAGATTGAATGAAATAACAGCATATCAATAATCACAAATAAAGTCACTTGCATTTCAAACATTCCATAACTTGGTGTTCCTGGCGAGGTTCTTGGTTAATTTCAAAATATGTCAATTCCACTGTTATACAATTAAACCCTTTTTAGATGAGACTATGTAAAACATTTTCCTACCACATCATTAAATTAACTGAGTCTTGTAATTTTTCTAGCCTTCATATTTACCAGATTAATAATTTTTTCTATTAAAATAAATCTGTTTTTGAAATTTAATTTGTTACTCTAATTTCCTTCAAATGCATAGTGATAAGGTGCCACTGTGGTATGAACTGAAGATTAAGACCTGACAGTGTTCACATGGTACAGCTACCCATTGTCTTATTACATAATTCATGTTAGTGAAATGCACATTTTAGAATTCATCTTCATTGCCCTCAGTCCTAGAGCAAATCATTACAATTCAGATGTCTGTAAAACATAATGTGACATCACTTGTGGAAAAGCAGAGTTCACGTGACCCCTACTTCCTGTTGCGCCATCCACATTACAATATTTTAAGCACGATTAACTAGGAACAAAATACAGTAATTAACCAGCATGCATGGGTCAGCACCTTGTGAACCAACTTTCTCAATGCAGGATTTGAGGCTCTGCACGCTATCTGTTTCATGCTGGTTTCTTGCTTGGCTTATGCTTCAACCTTGAAGATGCAAGTGGCATGTTCCACCAAAATACTGATTGATTTTCAACAATCTACACAGTGTTATATCCCAGTAGGCAGAACTTTCCATGATTACCATCAGTGAACAAATCATGTTAATGACACAAAACATATAAAACTGAAGTACTTATAGGAACTTTGAACAATAGAGATACACTGAACCTGTAACTCACAAACTACAGTACTGCAGTCCTTTTCTAACTATGAAGGCTAGGTTCCTCAAAAAACATCATGACTGACAAAACCAAAACTGGCAAGACACAGGCTTTATGAAATATTGTTGGTTAGGCAAGATGTTGTTCATGATGTGTATTCATGCTAACCATCTTACAGTGCACACAATTTCACCTTTCTCTTCACTTTTACACTACATGTTTCAGCACTAATGTGCCATCTTCAGGTGTGTCTCTATGCACATCAAACTACTGCACTGCATGCCATGACGTCTTCATTCTAAAATGACTAAAATGTGTATTCATCATGTATAATGATAAATTCTAAATGTTAAATCCTTTCAGGATTCGTCATCCATATATCGTATCTCAAATAAGCGAACCACACCAATCCTCCTCTATGGGAGCACTCTTTCTACATTCGTGTGTGTATTGTGCTCTGTGTTGTGTCTTGCTCCTGTGACACGAATCAGTGCAACAGGACGCTAAAATATAACATTATTAAAAGATGTTGTTGCTGATGAATACTAGCAAAGCCTAAGGGAGTACCTTCACTGAACACAACCACATTGAAAGTAAAAATGTGTTTACAGATAAATGAGATATAAAAAAGCATCACAAAGACATGCACCACAACAGTGATCTGGAAGCCAAACAACTTGTTTCAGCTGCCAGTTTTCACCCAAAATGCTCAACTACAAATCTATGGATATTTCCAGTGCTGATGAGTGTGGCTTGTTCTGTATCATTCTCAATGACAATATACACCCAGAAGAAAATTCCAAAAGAATGAAAGGTCAATGGGAAGAATTTTAAATTTTTGTGTCATATAGTAAATATGGAAGCAGTGTTTTCTGTAGGGGCTGCACCAAGACTATATAACAAGGATATCAGGCAGCTGGAATTACAATTGAGTTGAGTTCCAGAGTTGGCAGTTAGAGAAGAGAATTGAGCTGAGTATCCAGAGTTGGCAGTTGGCAGAATAATTGAGTAGAAATGGCAAGAAAGGAATTAGGCTGGGCAAAGAAGACTTCATAGTGTGCTGCAGTTACAGTGAGACTGTTATGAATCCATTGCCAGGATACAACTAGTGAAGACTGAGAACACTGGTGTGTGTAACAGTAAACTGTAAAGTGTGGAAATAGCGATAGTACTATAATTAATTGTAGTTATGAGTTGAGTACATAAGGTGTCAATAAATTCGATCATCCAATCAAAAAACTGCCTGTAAGTCATGCACACACCCCTAATACGTGACAATATTATATGTAATTAGAAGTCGGGCTAGAGGATTAGTGCTTCAACCACTTTAAGGTATTATTGGTACTACTTATAAAAAGCATTCCTATGAATTTTATAAATTCTCAGCATATCATGGTTGCACCATATACAAGTTTTGAAATGTATGCATGGAAACTCTTTTGTTGAATTCTCAACTCTCTTGAAAACATTTTTCTCTACAAAAAACTACTAAATTAAATTCAAGGCATACAAGTATGCAGAAACACATAAAAAGGTAATTAAAACTTTCCTATCTAAAAGAAAGTTGGAATTGCATGACAGTCTTTTATTCAATTTCATGGAAATCCATCTAGCAGTTCGCGAGCTGTTTCATGTGTATCAATGAATGGAATGAACCTCACAGGCACTCAGCAAGGTTGTGAACATGACCGAAAATGGTTTCTAGCCCATACAAAAAGAAACAAAATGACCTCCTTCCTCAATTCACACACTGGGTACAGCATTTATCAACTTGAGAGATAACACTGCAGACACAGGAAATACTGAATCAACAAAGTGAACTTCCTCAGCACACTGCCCTGTACCTGAGAATTCATTCTCCACAAGCCAATCCCAGGCACTGCTACTCTCCTTATCTGTGCCTTCTGCCATCAGCTTAACACATGCCGCTGCGAGCCCTTCGAACACACCTTGTAGGGGAAGAGAGAACAGGTGGCACAGCTTCAGAGCCACCTGGTACATGCCCACACTTGTCAGGATGGCCACAAGCTCAGCAGCACTGAATCTAGTTCCTGTTGGATGGAGAATCAATGTTCAACCTGTTTAAATGGCATCCTTCATTTCTGAAGTTGTAAAACTGTAGCGATTTGTAGCTTTAAATGTGCAGCATGTGATTTTGGGTCTATCTGTGAGCACTGTTAAAAGAATTATGATCATACACAACTTTCATAACCTCTCTATGCTTGTATAAAGTGCATGAAATGATAATATACATATATTTTCTATCATTTCAACTGTCTGCAAGTTGCATCTCAAACTAGTGAAAATGTTTCAATGAAATTTTGTATTGGGGCCTAGATTGGTTCAATATAAACCATTCTTCACATAAAAATCACAATTCGTTGACTTTCTTCAGAGTGTTATCATACAAAGAACTGGTATGTGATATAAAATGTATATCGCATTATGCTCTACAATTTTTATGTAAAATATTCTAATATGATACATACTATTTCATAATGTACAAGAAACTAAATGACTATAAGTGTGACGTCTATAGTATGTGTCTATATGCAATTACTTTAAAAATAAATCAGTTTATATTCACATCTGAAGGAAATGAATATCAAGACCAATGATGTATACAAATCCACAAACAATGCGTTTGGAAAAGATGTGTGCACCTTTCCAAATGTTTACATGTTACAGAACTCTTCCTTCTAGCATCACTGAGTTACCAACAATAATTAATATATATAATACCATCTATATTGTCATGAGTATGGGCTACTAAAGACAGGGTTTGCATTGGTAATTGGATTCACTGACCATCTCCAGATTGTAACTACAATTAATTATTACACTACTGCTGCTTTACACAATTTACAATCATTCCACACTAACCTCTTCAGTCTATCTTCACTAGGCTTCATTAATTCATAACAGGCTCACCGAATTACACACTCCAAACATTACACGTAAATAAAGTCTTCTAGTCACACATTAAGTCTTCACAGGTTGACTTCTAATGCTTCTTCAACTATGAACTTCCTGTGGCTATCTCATACCGAGAATTGACTTGCTTGCTTGCTCGCGTGCCTCTGCTGCCATTGCTACTCGTAAATCATAACTGCCTTGACGAATTCTGTCGCTCTAACTAGAGGGGATCCTCCTGTGAGCTTCTGTTCCTGATGGATAGCATTCAAGATCCTTACTGATACATCCCGGTGGTCTTCGACCAAAGTCCTGGCTATGTAATTTCCTTCAGGAGGATGGGCCTGCGAGCTCTGCTCTACCAGGCCATTTTCTACTTCGAGGGGGCTCTTCAATTTGGCCATCAATATCCTTTCGCATTGTACATGTATCACCAGATTACTGGCCACTACCAGGCTGGAAGACCAGGGTCCTCCCCTGGGCTTCATAGCGATACCTGTTCCTCTGCCACATGCAGTGTTTGGCATCCTAGGTCCACAGATGCATCATAGGCATGAAGTATGTCCAGTCCCAAGATGAACTCACTGATAATACTTGTGACAAAAACCCAAATTTTTAGTGGGTGCTGCTCCAGGGTCAGTGTTAGGTAAACTTTTATCAGGATGGGAGGGTTTCCCCAAATACCATTTGCGGCGTGAAATGTTGGTTCAGTTGTCTTTTGGGCCATCTGGTGGCAGTGTCTGGCCTAGCTATAGTTATATACACTCTGGTGTGCAGTCACCAGGCATGGTTTGTCACTGACCAAGCCTGGGTGACAAGACTAGGGTCAAAATTTTCTGTGATGACAGTCAACATGTGATTGGGAGGGGGTGTTATGTAAATGATGCCATCTGCCCTTCTCCACTTGCCTCCACTCAATTCCCAACAGTTGGCCACCCCTCCTCTTCGTTTCTTCATTGTCACTTAGTCTCCATTCAGACCTTCTTGGTGATTCCTGTGTGTCTCTTCTTGGCCTATCTTCCAGTTTCTTGTGGCAGTCATTTTGTACCTTCCTTCTGTAGGAGCAGGTACTCTCAAAGTGGCCCAGTTCTCCACAGCTTCCATATTCTGATTGCTTGGGTTCCTTTGTCATTTGGGGGGGTGACTGGCTCCACCAAAATGTCTTGGTGCTACTCTTGTGGTACCTGGCAGCTAGGAATATGGCTTGTAGTTTGAGCATCTGTCTTAGGGCCTCATTTACTGTTTTCTCTCTTCCTATCAGCAGTACAACTTTTACTTCATGGTCTTCTACTTTGCCGGCAAACACTTTCCCTGCTTCTCTCCTTATGTGGTCTTCGGGCAGAGTGGGGTAGGCACAGTGGGCAAGCTGTTCAATGGCCATGGCAAAATCTTGCTGGGATTCCCCTGCTCTGTGGGTTCTCATTTTTAGTTGACTCCAAAAAGCAAAGGCAAAATGTTGGTCTCCAAAACAGTCCTCTAGTGCCTGAAGGGTTTCCTCATAAATAACATTTGTTGGAATGGCATATAGCATGTCTGAGGCCAGCATTTCAGGGCTGCGATCAAGTACATCAATTTCTCCTAGTGTGACCAATGGTGGTGTTCCGCTCGGTCTCAAACCGACATCAGAACACAGCCCAGAATGTAGTCCCATCGAATATTGGTAACTGCAGTGCATATGCACAGACTCCTGGTCCCCTTCCCTGCTCGGCCCTGGCCTCAACTACTTCCATCTGAGCTTGGAACTTGCATTTGGTGGCTTCAATTTCTGAATGGGTTTCATTAATGGTTGCCTGTGCCTTAATGTGGGTGAAGCTGTAGTCTCTGAGGTGATCAGACTTGATGGTTGCTAGGTCTTCCTGGAGCTTCCTTACCTGCAAATATAGGGACACCTCTACTGCCTGTAAGTCCACCTATGTTTTATCTATTTTGTAAGTCGGTTCCTTTTGGAGACTCTGTGCTCATGATGTTTTCAGTTCAATGTTGGATGGTCTCATCTCTAACTCAGACCACAAGGAGTGTATTGCAGCCTCCATCTTTTCTTGATTGGTTCTAATCATCTCTTTCATGTGTTCTTGGCTGGCTCTTATTTCTTGTTTCATTTCGTCTCTGTTGGTTTTTCTGTCGGACTCCATTATGGAGACTAGAGAACCTATCTGCCTCTCCATCCTTTCTTGCATTGCTTTAGTATTGGCATCCATTTTAGCTACCTGCACAATTGGCAGTTTCTCAAGAAGGGCTCAGCTCTATAAATGAGTTGAGTGAGTCCATTTTAGCATAAATTTTTGCCAGCAGGAATTCCATCATGATCTATAACAGTCTCTCTGAATTACATATTCAAAATATTACATATAAATAAAATCTTCTCATCACATTTTAAGTCTTCACTGGCCACTACTAATTCTCCTACCGAGAACTGATTTGCTTGCTTGTTCGCGTGCTTCTGCTCCTGCTGCTGCTACTACTCGTAACTCGTAACTGCCTTGAACAAATACTGTCACTTACTTATATAGCCGCAGAATGGACATGGACCTACAGTGAACTCATATCACACAACTGCTATCCAGCCAGTCTTTTGGTGTGTCAGTCGGATCTACAGAAAACACAGCTTCCTATATCGCTGAGTGTTGGACCGTGTTTACAGAGCTGTTACCTGGCAATGCATTGATCAAATCCACTACAATATGTTATGTGAATGAAAAATGACAGAATACAAGAGGTAAACAGGGCACAGCTTAGTTGTAAAGTGTGAAGTTTATGTTAGGAAAGTACCTTGATTTTATCTCAGTTGAGGAATTTACTACAATGACTAATTTTCTTCAGTCTGTCAAGGAAAATAAAACATATAGTAAGAAAAAGAAATTTGACCCCAAGCAAAAATGAATTAACTTGCCAATGCTGGAACAGAGGTCTGGACTGTGCTTCATCAGGCGCAAGTGAGCATTCACCAGTTCAAACTCCTTCTGTATGTCTGGCAGCTCTAACACCTGAACTTGGCGCTTCATCTTGTGTTCAAATACTTGTTCACCATTCAAGAGTCGCTTTGGACTCACTTCAAGTAGCCCATCAACAGCCTGGGGGACAATATAAACGTGTTCCACTACACTTTAATGCAGAAACTGGGGAAGAACAAAGAGTACAACACTTACAATCTGTCCAATTTAATTGGCTTTTGGATGAAACTTACAAAGACAAAAAAGATGAATACTGTTAATAAATATGAAAATTCTCTCTCTAGCTGAACAGACTTTAGTGCTGTCTCATTACTGTTCAGTGCACAGCCTTAGAGAATGAACTGTGTGGAGGAGGTGTGAAAGCATTAATTGAAACCTGAACACTGAAAAATCTACAGGTTTTATTTATACATGCACGTTAAATTTAAAACTAAAAATTTGCTTTTCCTTCTTAACCAGTTAAGTGGTCTATTTTCTATGTTATCTTTCCTGCATTAAATTCTGTTAAAAATTGTTACATTAAAAATTGTTACTGTGGTGTTTCATTTTATAATTGTTGCTTCCTTTTTAAATTTTAATATCTCAACTATGTTTTATTATAAAATTATGAAAAAAAAGGTCTCTGAAAGACCAATTATTAGAGTTCATACATCTATATTTTCATTTATATAGCCATTATGTTAAAGTTTATACATATATATCAGTGAAATTCTGTACCTTTAGCTTTATTCTCAAAAAGCACGCCACTGCTATGCACTTCAGTTCCCAATGTGTGATCACAAAGCCATGTCTGACTTGTGCACATTCAGTATATGCACTCTCAACCAACATCTGATGTTTAGAGATGAAACATAATCACAGAAGCTGACTGACAAAACCATCTATAGCCTAAAAACACACTCACGTGTTTGATTATTGCGATATTTCTTATTACCATGTGGGCTAAATTTGTACTTCCTTCGGAAGCTCAAGGCTACTGTGGATGACTGAACTGTGAATCAAAAGCTATTTGTTCTTCCAAACATCAACTGCAAAAGCATTATCTGATACAGACTATAAAATCATCACGAAAAGGATTATACCACTGGAAACACTGTTGCAACTCCAGTGCCACATACTTTATAATTATGCTGTAGTTTTCAACACCAGTCGATAGTATAATTTATAGCCAGTAAAATCTTACATCCAGACATTTCTTGGCCATTTGTTGAACCTCAATCCCCTTTCACGCCTCTGGGAGTCAGCCACCATATGATAACACTGGAAAAGGTGCAGCACACAGGGCCACCCTACAGTTTTCACAGTTGTACCTTGTTTCATGACACTGACCCTTTTTGTTGTCAACAACTTGAAGATACTTGAGTAAAATGTGAAACCCCTTCTCACTGAACAGTTCCCAAAATATGGGTGTTTCCAAAATTTCTTTCGGGAAAAATAACTCATGTTATCCGGTTTCTGGTGAAGTCCTTGTAACGCAAAGAATGCCAGCAACTTCATTATCTCATTATGCTTGTCTCTTTCCAGTGATGGGTCCTATATCATAGTTTTTAATTAGGCATGGTTTCTAAAAATTTTGGGGCACACTGACTCCTCTGGCTATTATTTCTGCAATTTCTGGTGAACATTACAACTCAAAATATTCCAGGGGGTTACTGTGGCCTCCTAAATCAACATTTATGTCAGGTGATCCCTCAGCAGCTGACTTTGCCCATATATGATTCTGTATATTACTGCTGTCACTGACATTTTCTTCATCAGAGCTGACACTGTTTTCATAAAGTGACAAAATTTTCACACTTATTTCACTGTTACTACTATACTCACTCTCAGAAATATCACTATATTCATTCTTTTGCAGCAGTTCATGTAATACCTAATCACTCACATGCATCTTCTTGCTGGGACCTGCCATACTGTTTACTCATAAAAACTTGAACCCAGGACAGCTATCAAGCAATCAGCACCTTCCTGTTACACTCTGAAGTAACTAGAAGCTCTAGCAAGCACAATATACAAATTTTCATTGCTGATTGTCATTATGTGGTGTAGTTAGAAATATACATGACATGTAGAGATGTATATCCACTACGATACAGAGTACCGCATGACATGTTAAGACATCATAGCCACTTAACTGGTTAAGAAATAACATGTGTTACAAGGATTAGTCATGGCTGCCAATTTACTTTGGGGTTAAATTAATTGCTAAACTACCTCCTTCAATATTCTCTTTTAAGATATGAGAAATGTTTCAGGCTAAATTATAGAACTAAAGAAGATAATATTTCATTTTTTATAAAAGTACAAAGATCTTAAAGAAACAGAGCAGGAGGGTGTTGACTAGATTCAGCAGGCTTAAGATACAGATCAGAGGTGGGCTCCTGTGGCCACAGCAATGAACAATCAGGTTCCATAAAAGGAGTTCTAAATTAGGTGAGCAACTAATACCATCTTAAGTAGGACTCTGCTCTAAACTGTAATTGGCTAACTTTGTTAGTGGTCCCAGTGTAACACTGTCACAAGTTTGGGAGTGATTACAGATGGGGTTTGGAGTGGTGATTGGATTTATTGACAACTTATACACATGACACATCAGTACAATTAGTTACAGGCCCATTGCTAATCTCCACAATTTACAAATCACCACAGCACCCACCAAACCTTTTCCAGCCTGCTGTGTCTTCACCAACCGTTCCCTGGCAATGAAATTTAACAGTGGAGATTCTTCAGCTTCATGCCCTCAAGTCCTCTCTTCAGACTCCATACAGAACTCACTCAGTTGCCCCAACAGTCTTCAAGATAACTCCTCGGCACTGACCATGTAGAAACAGTACCTTTATCACTGTGCATGGATTAATTGCTGCAGGAACATGTTTACCCAGCCATTGCCTAGAAACCTATCTGGTACATTTGTCTATCTTGCTGTCATTGCATAGCAACGGCTCTACATGACACCTTAAAATACTTCTACAATTTCTTTCTTGTAAAAAACGGATTCAAATATTAACATACACAACATTGTCTTCAAATGAAAAATTAACAATTACATGTTAAAGGTATGTCCTTGACATCAATTATAACTTGTAGCACAATTTAAATTTCATATTAGGCATGTGTGAGGATGAAATTTTTCAGTTCAAATGGATAATTTGGAGATATGAGATGACAATAAGAATTTTCTCTACTGGACCAGTATTTTCACTGTGATCACAATTTATAACACTAGCCACTTTTCTCACAATACACTAAAATGTATTATTTATTCCCCTTGACATCAGATCTCTTTTTACTGGACATTTTTCATACATCATTGTATTTAAAAGAAATAAATTCTCAGAATTCGATCCATGTCTGTGGACATGCAGAATATAGTGGGTAGGAGTTTTGCTCATAAAAGATGGCTTCTAATTAGTAGTCAGTTGTCAGTAAAAGAGGTTATGTAAGTTTAAGAAAATCTGTAACTCTTTTGTTTAGATAAGCTAACAACAATGGGAATGCTGAATTATTCTTTATTATTTTCATATCCCCATCATAATCACTTCAAAGAAAAAATATAACTCTATCTGAATATTTATTTAAACCTTGCACGTAATCTGGGGATGGACTTGTAGTTAATATTTCAACCATTTCTGGATATTATGAATACTGTGGCATATCCATTGAAAGCAGGAAAGTTCAATCAGAAGAGACATCTGTTACTATATATATTATAGCACAAAAAACAGTGACATAGCAAGGGAATAATCATGCCACGCAACATAACCAATGGAAGTACCATTCAGAACAGTGTTCTCTGTGGGTCTGCACTGATAGTGACGTCATGCAACAACAGAGGAAGCGTGGGAAGCGGTGTTCTCTGTTAGGTCCATCCTTAGGCTATATAATGAGGAACAATGGGACAAGCCAATCAGCCAAGAGTCTTGAGTCTGCAGTTAGCAGCTGGAAGGTTGTCACAGAAAGTGAGCCCCTTTTGGAGTCATGGGAGGTGGAGAAGCCCCAACTGTTATAAGCCGATGTTGAGCAATGCCAAGTTAAGTTGTGAGACAGATGACAGTCAGTGAGGACAGAAGCTGAGGGATCTTTGGAATTGGGAGCAGTTACCAGACAACCAGTGAAGACAGCAGACTGGGAAGAGTTAGTGCATGCTACAGTGAACGGTAAAGTGTGTGAATTAAGGATAGTGCAGTAGTTACTTGCAGTTACGATCTGTAAGCATCCCATAAATCCAATAACCAATCCAAACCCCATGTAATGCTTGACAATATTCATTATGAGTATTTTTAGGAATTTTAAATACTTTTGTTAACATCGAGGTTCCACTTTTATATCCTGCATAAAAGCCAATCTGCTGATGACCTCTTAGGTAGAAACACGTTGTAATTGTAAATACACATTATAAGCTGTTTTTAAGTGGGTGATATATATGGCATTCAATTTTGCACTTGAGGCAGTGGTTAAGTTGGATCTTATAGAAATTCTCACTCTGTGCTACTTACCTCAAAAATTAGTACAATGACATTAACCTTTAATGGCCGAATGTTATATATATATGCAGCAAGCAGCATCCCATGTTGGCCGATTGTTATATTTATATGTGGCAGGACATGTGCTCTCTTTGGGAGTGCTGACAGTTTGATTATGGGTTTGAAACCAAAACAACCCCATGCAAGGTCATGTCAGTGGTTCATTCTTTAGCTCTGAACAATGAAATCATTTACCATGGTACTGGTCTCGACACTAATTACATTTAGATATGACTGTTTATGACCTCGTTAGCCAAATAGAGCCCAGCTTTATTTTAAGAACTGAGGAGTAAATATTCATCTGTGCTTGCCTGTTAGTGCTTCTAGAGCTTTCAAGGAAGTGTGATGTACTCAAGAATTGGTTTTCAGTAGCGAATTATCAGTTAGGAAGTCAGTGTTAGATTGTCATATATTTCTTTATCAGTTAAAAAATCAGTGTCAGACTCGTATATTTCTTTATATATCATTTTTATTTTGTGTCTTGGAAGAGGTATAAACCTACTGAGCCAGTATTACTTTGTGAGTAAAAGGCATCTTCGTCACTGTGACTTTCGGTATCAGTGTCAGACTGGCATTCTTTTCAACTTGTATTATAATTACTTTGCATCACTATTTTATGAGTATTACTAACAGGTGAAAGTGTCGCTTTGTCAATCAACATAATTTATTTGATTTAGCTAGAAACCCCCCTCCCCCAAGATGATTCTTCAATCGCGCAAGGCGAATATCATGGTCAGTGGTGTTTCTCGAAGGAGGCCAAGGTTATCTGGGGCCCAACTGAGTCGACTGGAGGTGAAACATTCACAACACTGGCCAACCAAAGGGAAACAAAGACGTCGTGTGTTTTGCTAAATAAGAAAAGCAGGAGCATCATTTTCTATTGCAACAAGTGTGATATTGCGCTGCGTGTCACAGACTGCTTCGAGAAGTGGCACGCGCGTCAAGAGTGTGAGGTATTGTAAACTGTGAAGTGACGCAGTTCAAACTTGCATACAGTCTGAATAAAATATTACTGTATATAGTGTGATTATATTTACAATATCACCAGTCTCAAGGTTGAAAAAAAAACTACAGGTAAGTCCTCTGGAATTTCATAACATACATAATAAAGAATGTATTTTGCATTTCATGGCAAAATAATCACAGTTAATTTTCATTTGTAAAAATTGCTCTTTTGTGTATATGTAGAAAATTTTATTGCCTTTCAGGTAATTTTTAGTTCGTCTTTCTATTCTGCATAGAAAATTTGTATTTTTTGTTTTAAAGTCTGCAATGTTAAAGACTTAGGGCCATTTAAATTCCGGCCGCAGATGGCTGCCAGCAATTTAAAAGTCCGTACGTTAAAGGTTAAAAGATCCAAATAAACATTATTACAACAAGAGGCTTAAGGATAACATCATCAGTAGGTTTACCTCTGTGTGCGGCACTGGTTTTACAATCCAGGCATACTTGGGGTCTACCAATCGCAGAGCATTGAGGCACGCAAGGTAACACTTTGCTTGTCGATGCAATGAGTCAGGTCCACTGGCGGTCTCCTGGCCAAGACGCATGCCTTGCTCATACATTACACTTGCTGCCTTACGTAGGTTTCCTTTCTTCACATGGAATGAGTATAGGAAGTTGTAGTAGTTGGAAGACAAGAGGTCCAGAGATCTTGCACGAGACTCCACTATACGTTCCAAATCCTCATACATCCCCTGCAACATAATGTCACGTGTGTGTAAGACCAGGCTTTTAAATTCCCACTTCTGACACCAATTGTCATGTCACACAACAAATAACTTCACGGGGGTCTTCGATTTTTAGCGAATCTTTATTGGGTACTCACTCTTACACTCTTTACAATTATTATCAGTTGTGGTATCACTTGGCTTCTGTCTCAATACTCGATTCTCAGTTCTCTAATACTCTAATACATGTTGTAAGCTCTGATTATATAGGGGTTATGCGGACTCAATAGAGGACACCCCTCACCAAGGTTCGATCTCACGTGTTTGGCAATCCGTTGCTTCGGGAACGCTCTTTATACACTGGTAAAGTGTTTCGTCTCATCTGCTGTTACTCAACGGGCCTTCTGTTGTTCTTCTCTGGGGAAAAGCGTTCGTTGTTTCAGCATTGTCTACGCAACGGCTCATTGTTATTGCACTACCATGGAAGTGCCTATTCCAGACATGTGACAATATGCATAATCTGTCCTCCATGCTGCTTCTGAGCACACATGCTCTTCTAGCTTTTGCAATGAAACACTGAAAAATTGCTGCCAGCAAATATGTGTGGCAAGGTTGTTTCTACAAGGGCAGCATTCTAGAAACAGCTAAACAAGGCAATATTGATTAATAGAGTTGTTAATGTACAACAGCATCCTCTGGCTAAGCAAGCAATTCATTACCTGTAAGCCACAGCTGTGTCTTGAAATATCAGTGAAAAGTTACTGTGTACAGAACTATTCTATAGATTGCAGCCCATTTCCCTAACCAAGCCATGAAAAAACCACAAAACATATTAAAAATGTCAAAATAACTACCCATGAACATACACTAAGTAGTGTGTATAACAGCTGGTTGTTTGAAAACATGGTACATGGGTAAATAGATTCGTTCCTAACAATATAGTTTTCATTTGAAGATTATTATGACTTATAAAATTTATTAAATACAACCTACATTATGGCATGCCACAGAACTGAACATTTACACAGAAGACATCCCTGGCCATGTGTAAGCATGATGAAATCATGCCTCATAAAATAAACATTAAATGTATATAAGTAATAATTTTCTCCTGCAGGTGATAAATTACATTTTACCTCCCTCTTTGCAGTTCCCATTTTGTCTACTATTTACACATAATAATAAAAAAGCCACTGATTTACTTCCTTCATTGAATTTAAATAAGTGAATAACATGTTCATCAAAAGCAAAGATGGACAACTACTCAGTTAAATTCTGCACAATTTCAGACACATGTCAGCATCAGTCACCAGAAGCCACACTTTCTGTTATAAGTAGGTGGATTTTGTAATGAGTCAATTTGTAAAAAATATGACCACTCAATAACATACTGAACAGGTAAAATGTTAGTTTAATAACATTAAAATTGCTCTCTGTAAGCAGCTAACCTTTTTGCACACAAAATATTTAAGTGGGACAACAATAAATTATCCTCAGGAGGAAATTTTGGGGATCAAATAACTGGAATATTTTAGGCAGGAAGATACCTTAAATACTCAAACAGAAAATGACACTCCACTTTTAATTACACATACAATATTTGCTTTACCCTGATGAAAAATTAATAAATAAAGGTCATATAAATCTAAATGCTGTGAGCAAAGATAATCTTTCTTGTCCTGCCAAGGCAGAGTGCTCCTGGGGGAGCAAATTTACAGTCCCCCAGCCCCATTTCATTTGCCATGTGCCAAATTAGAATTAAAATATGCTGATACTAAAGCAAGTACAGTAAAGTAACGAGAGGTAAAACAAGAAACTAGCATGAAGCAGGCAGTAATCAGAGCTTTCCTGCTGCTTGCTTATGTCAGTTTCTTGCTTGGCTTACTCTTCAACCTTGAAGATGGGAGTGATATGTCAATTCCTTCACCATACTACACGATGTTATATCTCAGACAATAGAACTCTTCCATTAATTGGCAGTACTCTAAACATGTTATGCAGCGATGTAAACAAAAGTTTTAAGAATCAGGCTGGTTTTCATCAGTGTCTGGAAATATATTATTGTAATGAAGTTCTGAAGGGCTGATTTATTGTTAATTTAAGGCCTGTTCCAAACAAGATAATGTGTAAGTATCTCTCTTTCAGCAGACAACAAAGGCATGAAAATATTATACTCATCTCTGTGGGAGACAACTCCAAATCTAAAACAAAGATTCCCACCAAGAAACATGTCTGCACATGTGACTTTATATATATATATATATATATATATATATTAATTTGATTGCATTTTTAAATTCGTATTCTAATATTGTATCATAATTACTCAGT